TGACTATACTTTGCCAGAAAAGCTTTGTAGAGGTCCAAGAAGCAACAGCAAAGATATCCTGGGCAAGTCTGTACACATACAGTTTAGGTAGTAGACTGTAGTGACTCTTTCTTGGGATGAATAGCTGGCAGGGAAACGAAGGAAAAAAAAAAAAAAAAACCCATACTGCAGATTGCAAGAACTGAGTCACATTTGTGTAACAGGAATTGTCTACAATTTATACAGGATATTGACTCACAGCATACCACAAAGGAAAGAACATTCATAACCAGGCTGCAGACTCACAATTTGCAGAACAAAGAACTAATCACTATGCTAGCAAAATAAATTCAAACTTCATGCAGTATAATAAGAGACAAAGCATTTCTGAATATGAATTTCCCTCAAAATCTGTGGTTTGACATTGTTACTCCGCATCCTCCTACAAATAGGAGACAGGAATCACAGAGCAGACCTTTCCAGTGCTGGTGGAAAGAAAGCAGGAACAGTTGCAGCTGTTAGTTTAAAGGTCATAGTGAGTCACAGATAGGAACCTGAGAGAAATAATGGATAAAAGTTCTATGACTCGTGTCTAAGCTCAATTGTAGCTCTGTAACAGAGGAAAGAGATTGATTAAAAAGGGGCCAAGACAATTCTTGACAAGGAGTAAGATTTTCCCCTCTGTTTTCCTAAAAACAAGGATAAGATTTATGATTCCATTATGATAGGCATATTCTAGATTATAGTTAAGAAAAACATTCTGTGATATGCATTTCTGTGAAAGTCGAATCAGAAACTAGAAAGCAAGCATTAGCTGCTTGAAGGCGCCTAATTCAGAAATATAAAGGGACATCACATTCCAGTTGACTAAGCGCCCACAGAACGTCCTTTAGTAAAGAACTAAGATCACACAGTGGTGACAGATGCAGGATGGAGCAAACAGACCTCTGAAAATCAGGAAATGAAAGTTACAATAATTTAAGGAACTGAAAAAAATAAACTAAGAATGTAATGAATAAGTACACTCCATTTTTTATTCACAGAAAGATAAGCTAATACAGTTATGCACTGCCATAAGCATGCTGTAAAATCATTACATGAAGTGTAAGTGTAGGAAAACAAGCAAACAAACCAAACATCATTTCATTTCATTTTTAGTGCATAAAGCCATATGACACAGTCAAAGGGAATGACTAAACCACCAACTGACTTAGCACTGGCAGCACATACCAGCAGTGCTAACTTTTACATCCAAAGGCAATAAACTTACTTATTTTTCTCCATTTCAGTGAATCTGACATGCCAAAAGAATTTTACTGACTTAGTCATTACCACTTAGTGCCTTTTCAGTGACGGGTCACACTTTTTCTTACCAATCTGCTGTAATAGCACCTAGCTCCAAGACAGCAAAACTAGTTTACTCTGGGGGTGTAGTTCTGTTTGAATAATAAAATGCTCTTAAAGTAAAGTTCCAACCCATTGGACTGATAATAAAAGCATAAAAAACAACATTTTCAACAAAAAAACACTCTATTGTAAAAGAAAAGTCACAATGGAAACTATTGTACATTTCCTAATAACATGTACTACCATACATTACTATACTGATTGCACTAGCAGTAGTTAGTCTCCAAGCTACAGTGATATCAGTGAACTCTCTTCTATATACACATAGAATGGTACTAATACATGCATATTAACAGATAAAATGTTTTCTGGGTCATTTATAGACTAATATTTGTAGGATCATGATCTTTTCGCCTTCACAGTATAGTTGTAAAGACTAATCCTGAGAGATACTGTGCATTTTAATTGAAGTTAAAAACTTGGCAAGAACTACATAAGTTAAAAGTTTGAAAATACTAATGAAGAAAATGTTTTTCAATGAAACACAGCTTCCATAACAGTTTTCTGTCAAGTAAGTCAAGTCTTGTACTTAAAGACTTCACCAAGAATACTCAGGAATGCGAGAATATAAATACACATTGCAGAGGTAAGGGCCAAAGTCCCATAAATGCCTGATTATTCTGAGTCTTTCCCAGCCTGTGAAATGTACTCCCAATTTTGTTTTTTTATGTCCTACTGATGTACATCCAGTGAGCATGGACTACAATTAGTACCAATGTCTGCTGGTTGGCATACATCTGGGGAAAAAAAAAAAAAAATCCCAGCTTCAAAAGTTGAGGGGGTTAGGGACAACAGACTAAATATGAAACAAACCCAAACAGTAAAAAATTTAGAATATGAATACATGCCAGATATGATCTCCACTTCCTTGCACTTGCAGCCAGGTAATCCAACTACAAATTAAATCAAAGCTCTTCAAAGGTTGGCAAGAACCTCACATTTTCTGGACCCCTTGAACCACTCTGGCCAGAAAACCAAAAAAAGCTAAGCTACTGTATGTAGTATAACCACATAAAAAAGAAGCAGCAGGTATAATGAGATATTAAACATTCTACTAGAAAACTGTTAGAATCCAAGTTGTATTAAAAAGAATGGTTAAGCACATTTATGAACAAGAACAATCTTCATTATGATGCATAACAGATAAATATGATTTCACTCCTTTAAAGTCTGATGCATGATTCCTATGATAAGAAAACAAATCCTGCTATGTAAAAGCATGAAAACAAATCTTAGAAACAAACCCAGCTATGTAAAAGAAAAAAAAAAAACCTACAGATTCTTTAGGTAACTGAGCTGAAATAACAAATAATATGAGCAAAAGATGACAGGGAAGAATTTTATTAACCCTGAAATGCAGTAGAAAAAAGTTAAGAACAAAAGGCACTTTATTGAATCACTGAAGACTCAACAGAAGAGAAGTTATAAACCAACTCCAGCCCTCAACAAAATGTCATCATTTCAGATTTGATTTCTGGAGGTGACAAACCTTTGCAATGATTTTTCTTATTTTGGAAATACCACTTCCATTTCAGCATATACTTTTGGAAATTATATCCCCAGGAATTAACATAACTAATTGTCACAGTTCAGTTCAATGAATTACAAAATCCAAATTTCCTGGAAGTTTCTGCACCTCAAAAACACACCAATATGTGAAATCAAGTCCCTTTAGTGCAGCCAAAAAAGAAAATATTGACAACAGAAATCAGGTAAAGAATGCACAACAGAAAAAAAATACATATATATAATCTTTATAATCTTTAATAGCTAAATCAAAATGGATCTAACTATGCAATTTGGTTTGGACTTTAAAGCGAACAGCTAATCGTTTGCAGAAGCTTATAAAGTGTGGTTCTTGTAACAGAAACACTGCTGTCCTGAAAATAAAGTTTTCCCCATCAACACTCTCCATACAGTTCAAACGTCATTCAAGTAACTCCAGCTTTCTTACAAAAGTCTCTCCTAATATTATACCAGATGTAACTTTATAAACAGCTTATTACAAATTTTCAAGTACTTACATACATCACTAACCTAAAGAAACCCTCCTTCCTAAGTAAATTTATGACAGTTTTCCTTACCTTTAAAAATAACAGAAACAATAGGATCTGGTTTCCCAAACTTGGTTTTAGGGATATTGTTGGCACATTCCACAATCACCCGGAGCATTGTTTCCAGTCTCAACTAAACTTGTGTTGTCACCAAAGAAATTCAAAGAAGTCTTAAGTTTCAGGCTCTAACTTCTGGACTGAAACACTAGCAGGAAGGAGGCAGGGAATAGCTGGTTTAGAGTAAAGAAGGATTATGGGTGGATCTATGACGGATTAACTGTTGAAGGCTATGTAAAAAAAAAGTAGGTCTTACTAGAGAAATTCAGTGAGAGAAATAGCACAGCGAAAAACGGCTGCAGGATTTTTTTGGTCTTTTTTATTTTTAATCTGCATTATATTGTTCTCGTAAGTATCCATAGCAAGAGAAGTATAAACATAAGCAGTATGAATTAAGGAAAACCCCAGCAGTCAAGACACATGATGGCTGTCAGTACACCAAGGTATTAGACTTAATGACATTTCATACTTTTTTCACCTCTATTTCTAAAACTTGATTGTCTGTAAATGTTTTTAGTCTGCCTCTGTGACTCTCTTGAATCACGAAATACCTGCGACCTCTGAAGTAGTTTAAGTGCTCCCCCTTCAGTCGTGACCAGGAAGCCACGTATTAAATAGCAAATACAGCGATGTTAAATGCAGAGACAAGTATTTAGTACGTCTCTCGTAAAGAAATGATTAAAATACAAATGCAAAAATAAAAATGTAAAAGACTTAGAGAAATATCAGCAAAAACGAAGCGATAAGACCTTGTGTATTGCTTAGAGGACTATAAATATTTTCTCTAATTCATACTAGGATTAAAATCTACTATAACAAAACAACACAAAATTTAGGTGGACTCCAAAAAACTCATAAAACCCCACTGTGTACTAAACTACTCCATCTTCAGCTTAACAGCTGTGTTTCCCAACTTGTGATCTGTGGACCAAATGTAAGAAACCAGTGCTCTACTACGGAAAAGTATGTATTTTTAAGTACAAGTAAAGAGGCACAACAACAAAATGGAGCAATATGAATCATACATAGGCAATCAAAGTTTTGCCTACGTTTTATTTGGCTACACATGGAAACTACTGAACTAACAGTGCTCTATGTGATCCTGGCTTACCACCTCTAAAACAAGATCGGTCTGGCTTCTTCTCTAAAATGATTAGATCTTGCACAGTTGAGAAAAAGGACTACAGAGAGAAGCACAGGAAGACAACGGAGACCATTACATAGAGAGGACCGAGAAGACCTGGCCAAGACCGTTCTACCCTGATTCCTGTCCTAGACAAGTCCCGGCTGTTGCAGCCCCCAGGGCTACCGGTGCCACTAGCAGAGCCGGCGAACTCGCTAAGTCGCTTACCTTGCCGCCGCAATGGCGAGGAGACGGGGCCTCGCACGAGGCGCCGCGAGGCATCGCTCGCCAAGCGACGTGAGGCGACGACCACCTGTCATCGCCCCTCGCTTTGCAACAGCCATTTAACGGCGAAACTTCAACCCTCTTCGAGGGGAAAAATGCTTAGGGGCTCGCAAAAGGGAGCCGAACCCCCCGCCACCCCTCGGAACCGCCCGAGCTGCCCGCATGGGGGAGCGACCACAGCCCCCGCCTCGCCTCAGCCGTTAACTGTCCCGAGCACGTGCCAGGTAGGGCGGGGGGGCGCATCAGGAGGAAAACTCCAGGCTATTGGCCAGGCAGCGGCACCGGCCAAAC